TATAAAATGATCACCAGACCAGATATGGCAGCAATATTCAATGCACGGACGAATGGTAGATTTATAAATGGGCAATATGGATACTGACGAGAAAAAAATCTGGCACAACACAATGGACCAATAATTATGAATGTATATTTTTCTGTCTCTTCTGACCCATATATACATTCAATGACCGTATTTATTCCTTTGAGTTTTACCTGTTGAGGTTCGCGTTCGTTTATTCACCTGAGTTTTACCTGTTGCTCTGGAATGTTGCACTCTTAACAAAAACTTGTTTTGAATCATGTGTTTTATTTTTTTTTTATTATAATGGTTTGATTCATCTGCACTAAGATCAAGATCACAATTTAAATCTCACACTCTATTGTAAACCTTAATCACCCGAAAGAGAGTTTATAATGAAAATCTAAGATAATCCAGTAAAACAGCTGCTTTTGGTCCACCAAAAAACTGCCTACTAAATCCTTAATCTTCTTTTAATAGGCATTAACAAGCATGCACTAATCTGTTGGTAACTACTTTGCTTGATTTCCTGAATAGCGAGGTCAAAGGTCCAACAAGGTATTTAGTTTTATTACCTCATGTTCTTTTTTTTGGGGGGTGGTGTAGACTATGAACTTTAGTCTCCATCGGCCGAACGGAACGTGGGAACCTGTTTCTAAAAGTAAGAAATCAATTCAGTACCTTGTCGAAGAGAATGTTTATTCATAATAATGTAAACTCAATACAAGGCCCAAGAGCCACTCCAAGTAGAGAGTTACTGTGTAGAGTGGTATCAGCGCAAGTAAGGACAAGCGTTAGAAGTATAGAGTTGAAGTAGACTTAAGAAAGAATCGGAAACCCATTCCTAAACAGGAATTAAGGGTTAAACCGCTACTCCTGTTCGGAGGAGGTCTGGTATGTGTTGACTCTAACCCTGGCAGAGGTGTAAAAATTATCTCTAAAGGAGCCACCTGCCAAATAAATGCTTACAGTCTCGAATATAAATAATATTTACCTATTTCCGAACCAAGTAAATGTTTGGTAATCTGTTGATCTGTCTTACGGCGCCCGCCATATTCTCCTAACTTGTACCAACCGATTATAAACTTTTTCAATCACTGTAAAACGAGGGGTGGGGGCATTTCTCTAATGAAAACCCGATTCAAGATTTCGTAGAAAGCCTTTTCACCTCAAAACCTGCGGAATTTTACTGAAAATGTATCGAAGAGCCGCTTGATAAATGACAAGCCATTGCAAAGAATGGTAATGTTAGCCTTTTCCTTATAAGGAAATATTTCGTATTCATTGACCGAGCAGCCTGGTTGAAATTTATAACATCATTCTATTAAAACAATTTTCCAGGAAAACGTTTCTCAGATCTACTGTTTCCAGCACTGATGGAAGTTTCCTTCCTAACCTTTTGTTTGAGGTAGTGTGGAAAATCAACAGCTTGATTAGTTTATTATTTTCTCTTCGAGTTACATGTGCTTTCCATTTTATTTGTTGCTTTTTGTTGAAAATCAGTCATGTAATATGGTTTCTATTATTTGGTACAGTTCTTTCTGATGCTGTAGCGTCAGGCCACAAGGTTCGAAGAAGGATGGTCCTTGCGACGACCTACAAACTTCATTCGTTTGAGGCTATTTTTAACCATTAAAAGCTGAGAAAAGCGGTTGTATGCAGCCGATTGTTTACATATATTTGTAAATGAGTTTTGGCGTCATGCATGACAACAATATTATTTTGAATGGATTTTTAATCCGACCTTATTTTGAATGGATTTTTAATCCGACCTTATTTTGAATGGATTTTTAATCCGACCTTATTTTGAATGGATTTTTAATCCGACCTTATTTTGAATGGATTTTTAATCCGACATTATTTCTTATTACGGTAAACGTTATTTTGTCGTGGGTACACATGTTTCCGTTGCTATCCTTGCATTTTTTATTTTATTAAACAGTGAAATTAATAACAACTGGCCTAGATTGAGAAGTCCCACTAATGAAAAATTCTGCCAGAATTCGAACCTGCGTCCCTTTTTTACCTTTCAGCCGAAGAGTGCCACCGAGCCAGACTGACAGGGCAAAGTTAAAATAACCTGTTAAAGCAGACATGTTTTTTCTCTCTTGTTGAGGCTTCTACGAATTTATATCTGGGGGCTTTAGTTTCGTACCCAAAACAAAAACAACAGTAATTTTTTGAAAGGATTTTTTTCTGTCGTTTATATGAATAAATGTGAAACTGGAGCTCAATTCTCTCATGAAGTTTGAGGTTAAATGGTCCCAACACTACTTTATAATAATTTGGTTTTTACTCGACCATCTCACCTCCACGAAGTGTTGTGACACAAGGTCGGTTAAATGTGGGGAGCCCGCGCACGTACACCCGGGCTACGAACAAACATTCCCCGAACCCAATCAGCCGTCGGTTGCGCTGGCCTTTGTGTGAACATCGATCCCTCTCTCTGGTGCAATGAGAGGGCACGGACTCTGGCAGCTGTTTCCCAGGGCTGGGCACTTCTCAATATAATTTTCCTCAGTTGCGACTCTGTCCTTTTGACGGAGTCGCCCCTGAATGCATTCTGCCCAAAGACAGAGACGCAGCTGAGGGAGGATAAATAGGGTGTTACAAACTACTTGAGAGAGTAATTTGTATTTACTCCCTGATAGCAAAGCATGTTTGTCATTCCTTTTCCTTTTAGCCGTTCGGTTCTGTTAGTGAACTGCCGTGTTATTATATCATGGATATGATAATGCCCATAATGGGGGAAATACAAATGGGGAAAATGTTTCTTCTTAGCTCTCCCCTGTTACAGTACTTTTTCTGAAGAAGAAAATGAATAAACAAAAACGGAAATTTATTTATTATCTCAATGAAATAGAATCACTCATGTCCATTCTTTGCCGTGATGTTTGGCATAATAGGTTTGTGCCATTAATATATTTTGTTGCAATATTTTACCTTGCCCACCATTTTCTGATTTGCTTTGCTTAAGAGATTTTTAACAAACAGTACAACTTAAAAGGATTGTAGTTTAAGCCAACCAAAACATAACCACAAAATCAATAAAAATAGTTGAAGCAATTTTTGTAATGATATTGGCTCCTACCACATTTCTTACGTATGATACACCTAAGGAAGGCTGAAGAATGAATCTGCCGAAACATCTTTTATCATTTCACTTCAAGCAAGGCGATAAAGCCACTAAAACACAAGCCGTTACTGAGAGTAAAAACATCTGTGAATACGGAGAGACTACAATAAATGTTCAAGTTCAAATTTGACTGAAAAGCAAGAAGTCGGAGGAGAGTTCCACAAGCGAGAATTGCGAGAGAAGAAACTGTCAGTATTGAACTTACATCTAACCATTTCATCTGTAAAATAATAAAAACAAAGATAACAAAAATAACATCGGTAATTAAAACAAATCTTGCAATGATAACGACTTCCTTTTTTTATATGGATTATACACCTGAAGAAGGCTTAAAAAGAGATCTACTGAAACGTTATCGTAACAATTAAAATATCAACAAGAAAGAAATCAGTAATCGAGAAAAATCATGGAATGATAATGACTTCTTTCTACTATCTGGATTGTACATCTGATGAAGGCTGAAGAATGGGTCGGCCAACACAACTTTAATATGGTGACTCATCTCAAAATTACAGAAAGTCATTCAGAGTGTAATGTATCATGTGGAGACACGGTAGAGTAGTGGATAGAGTCTCGGGTTGAGGCATCGGAGATTCGAGTTCGAATTCGAGTCGAATTCATTGCCTTCTCCTCTTTTTTTTTTTTTTTTTTCTTACCTCCAGCTATGGGTAAATAGTCTGATAGACTGGGTGGGACCCAATCTAGGAGAAGGAACAACTCTTAATTCAAAAACTGTCTGGAGAGGGTCGGGCTATCTTGCCCAGGAAACGCCACATCTACTACGGCTACTGTACATGTGGTGACCATAATAATTTATGGGCCTCGTGATCGTGAATGCGATTCGCTTCATTTTTATGAGAGATGGGGTCTTTTAAGGTATAGAATTTGTCCACGAAATTCAGAAATCTCTTTCGAAATCTCTTATTATTTTAAGTTTTTAATAAATTAAATTCAAATTCGAATCTAATCAACAATTGTTTTAGAGCTAATAAGAAATTTTGCGTTAAAAGTTTCTCATTCGGGCTTCAAAGGATATAACCGACAACATCCGAATAAATTGCTATAGTTTGAATAGAAACACCTTAGATTTATGAATCAATCAGAGCAACTCTTAAAAAAATATCTTATCCGACTAACCTTTATATAAGGAACGCTGTCCAGAACCAGAATCGAGTCCGTTCGTTCCTCTCTCCACATCATTCGCATTGTTGTTTTGTTCACACATTATTTGAATTTAACTAATTTAACTTCACTCAGTTATCACAAAGTTTATTTATGTTGGAAGGTGGTAGTCAGTTTATCCGGGATCAAAATTTAGTGATTGTCAACTCCGTTTAGATTTTAACGATCCTATCATCTAAACACTCAATGCAAAAATCAACGCATAGGCAGTAAACTACTTTTCGCTAATTTATTTTTCATAGAAACTAATATTCATATTAAGAAATCGATTTTTAGACAGTTGACAAGAAATCAATACAACTAAATAGCATTTTTATTGATTAAACTGCATTATGTCTCCTCTAACAGCGGAAAGGTTTATTTATGCACATCTGATCAATATACAAAATAAATAAAATATGTGATCACATCTCATAACTAGAAATACAGTGTGACAGTTGATATTTACTAGGCTTAATCTTCTTTCTTCTCTTAAGTGTCGTGTCCTTTCAGGACGTGAGCGATAATGGCCCTCCACAACTATCTATCCTTTGTAGCTCTCAGCAATGTTTGTTTTTTTACATTCCTTGTTTTGCCATCCATTTAAAAGAAACATAAGTTACTTGCTGTTTCTATATGCCTTTCTTATATTCAATGTCCTGTAAGTGTCAAATTCTTCAAACCTACTTTCCTAAGCTTACGGCCGTATCATGTTGAAGCACTAGTTTCCATACGATCACTGAAGTTAAGCAATGTCGAGCCTGATCAGTATCTAGATGGATGACCACTTGGGAATACCAGGTGATGTATGCTTGTATGTGCTAGTCTAAGGGATAATCCCTCAGAATTGTCAATCGAAGAGCGGACTTCTAATTCCAGTTGGGTTCGTTATATTCACTTATGTGCAAATACCCTTGGGGAAGGTATGAATCCAATTCTCCTCCAGCTATGGGTTAATTAACAAGACTTGTATCATTTAAATCATTATTATTTTTTTTTAAATTTCTTGAAATCTATAAGTATGTTCTGGTTTTATATAACCTGCAAAGAGGTGATTCGTCATCATGCGTCCCAGAAAGTTCATCTCGCTCCTTCTGATTCCATGTGTCTTTTTGTTTCATTTTTCATTCGCACTTCCTCGTTGCTCACATGTTCCATCCATGATATTTCTGAAAAATCGTCTTTTCTTACTTTTTCTTTTCTTTTTTTTTTTTCTACAATGATGTTCACCCTGTACAAGGCCCAAGTCTAGGGTTAGCCATTATCTTCGTCACATATCCGCATAAATTGTGCCTCTTACTTTGTGACCCTCTTCTTCGAATTGCTCTTGGCGAAATGTCTCCGTGGGCGAGAGAAGCGACCTGGAGGATGGGAAGAGTCGGTAGAGGTTGAGGTTATGGTGATCGAGGTAGCATCCTTTTGGGAGTTGATTCCACAAAGCATGATACACCTACCCGAAGAAGCTACCCGAGTGGAAGTTGCATCTCACAAATGGAATACGAAGGAAATGCGAGTGGTTCGTTAAAATGTACCTGTCATGGCGAGTCTTAGGCGTAAAAGTTAGAACTAGTGTAAGTAAGGAATGTCGTTCGTCTGAACACTTTTCATGAAAATAGCGATAGATCAGCGAGAGGCTTGCGACACCAGTGAGAAAGGGGCTGTAGGGTGAAAAATAATTCATCACCCACAAGGACGCGGGGACGCTTTTGGACTCTATGGAGACTGGGAAGTGAAAACTGGGCACGTCCTGCTCGTATATAGCAGCAGTACTCCATTTTCTGCTTGATGTGGCTATTGAAAATGTACTTGATAGCAGGAGGAGGTAAGTAAATTGTACAACCTTCACTATCCTAAAACACATAGGTAATAAGTGTCAAACAATTCACTTTGTATAAATGTAAGGAATAGAGTTGCAAAATAGAAAGAATATACAAATGCCACCTGTTATACTCCGCTTCAAATTTGATCTCTTTATGATACACTCTACATCAAAAACTGTTGGCGGGATGGGAACGCTACGAAAGCATAAAACTAAAAAAGATAGTCGTTCTCTGCGTAAGGGCTCCAAGCATCACATCCAGCTCACAAAACAAATCACGCCACAAAAAATACAATTTAAAAGGATCCAATCACGAACGTTGCCGCTAAAGAAAAACTATGACAAAAAATAAAAAAATAAAACTCTGTCATGTATCAACCCTGTCTGCTTTTAAGGGCGCCTCTCACGACACTGAAATGAAGCGACAGGCACCGCCAATGACTTTGGTCAGCCGAAACGGCACAAACATCAACCCTGCCAACTCTACCAAACCTCCAGGTCGCTTCCATCGCCCACAAAGAGATATTCCGCCTTGATCCTCTATATTGGCAATACAAAGAATTTTATTAGTTTTTTTTTTGTTTACGCCTCACCGTCAGTGCTTATCTTGTGTGTTCTCTCGTGTAACCATATGCGTTCATAACACGCCAAATAAGAAAATTCCAGAGAGGAAATAAAAACTTATTAAAATTATTATGAAATTAGTTTTTTAAAAAAAAAATGATGGAATGAAACAAAAGAAATTAAGAAAAAGAACAAAAGGTGAGTAAAATAAAAAGCAAGTAAAGACACGACAAAAAAGAAAAATGTTAACAGTCGAATGGAAGAAAAAGGAGGATAAAACAAAATAGAAAAAATTCCACCAAGACAAATTATAAGAAATTACTTGAAACTCAAATAACATCAAAAGAAGAAATTGAGAAGACATCTAATTATACGTATACGCACATATGTTTCATTTTTTAAAAATGAGGTTATTGTAACAATTAAGAAGGCTGAAGAAGCGATCTGCTGAAACGTTATAACACCAAGTAAGATATCAACAAGAAGGAAAATCAGTAACGGGAACAAAACTTGAAATGATAATGACTTTTTTCTTCTATATGAATTGTACAACTGAAGAAGGCTAAAGAAATGATCTGCTGAAACGTTATCGTAACAAGATATCAACAAGAAAGAGATCAATAAATGGAAAAAAAAAACTTGGAATTATAATTAATTCTTTCTTCTATATAAATTGTACTCCTGAAGAAGCGATCTGCTGAAACGTTATCATAACAAGATATGAACAAGAAAGAAATCCGTAACCGGAAAAAAATCTTGGAATGAAAATGACTTCTTTCTTCTATATGAATTGTACACCCGAGGAAGGCTGAAGAATTGATCGGCCAAAACAAGCAAAAGAAGATACTACTGTTAAAATTTTTCTCATATTTGAAAAGCAGTATTCAAAAACTCGTTATAGTTAATAACTCTGGCTACAGTACCCCGAAATTCAGCACAGATGTTATCTTTGATTTGCTGAATTCATACTCTTTAACGTATCTCCAAAGAAAATAATCGGTAGGTGTCAGTTTAGAAGAACGTGTTGGCCATAAAATGTTGGTATTTCGCGAAATTATCCCGTGACCAAATGTTTCTCTTAGAAGATCCATTGTTGCACAGATCGTGTCTACAGTAGTGTCATTAAAACCACATCTCAGGTTTGTTCTGCGCATCTGGATGCAATAATGTCGCAATCAGTGCTCGATAGCCTCACAAATGATATTCATTGTATTGACATTTTCATCTTCAATAAATTAAAATTCCAGGATTTTCTTTTTTTGTTGAGTTTTGAATTTTTCCGTGGATAGTTTCCATATTGTTATAGAGTGAACGAAAACTTTTCTTCCGTATGAATTACGAATTCCTCGTCGCCAATGTGTTGTTAGGCGTACGAAAAGTTTTTTTTTTTCTTTCTCCGTACGAGTTTCGAATCCTCGGTCGCCAATGTGTTGTTAGAGTAGTTTTCACAGTGGAGGCTTGTATTTCAATAAGTCGTTCTAAATTAGGTTCCGACGAACAAAATGTTAGGAACTTGAAATAAGAGTTAATGACGCAGCAATCTAGTTGTGATGGTTGATACTTCAATGTCCGACATCGACTGACTCACTCAACACCACTGAGCCCCACTGGCCACTGCTACTACTACTTATTATCTGTGTAGGAGAGTCTATTACAATAGAATAGGTAATGTTCTGGTATAACACATATGTTAATCAAAGTTCTAAAAAAAAAAAACGAAATAAAAAATACGAAACATCTGATATGTTATGACATCTTTAAATCTCTCGGTGACTTTTGGGACACTGTATAAATTTATCTGTCCCATTTTTATTGTGTACACTGGAACGAATTCTTTGTATTCCATTAATAAGGAGGAAGTTCCATTCGGACAGCCTCTTCCCAAAAACAGCTATTTTGTGGAACAGACCCCCAACATGATGCTTTTCTTATATCTACAATCTCAACTGCTTCAAGTCTAGGGTTAACCGTTATCTATCCTATATATCATTGTAATCTGCATTTCTTACCTCATCCTCTTACGCGTCCTGGGTATGACGATAAACTACATCAGGCAGCAAGGCCTCCGATTGGAAGGTTTTCAGGAGCGTGGAAGCACCTCTTAAATGCTGTTGTTCTACTCTGACCCAGTGTGGGAGCACCTGTTAGGGTCCCAGCTATGGGCAAATAGTTAACCCCCAACATGGGGTCAAAACACTATGAAACCATAAAAATAGATTTTTATAGTAACAATACCAACAATACGTTTTTGGAAGAAATATATATTACTAGCAATACATTTTGGAAAAAAAAATATTACCAGCAATATATTTGACACTCTACAAAAAACGTTTTTACAAACACATTTCAATGAAACCTGATCTACAAACTGGTTGTTACAAAGAATACATATACTATTCATACGGATCTATTCTTTAAAATCTTGTCGGCATTAAATAACTCATTGAGGTTGATATGTCGTAAAACAAAACAAACCCAAGCTCTTACGTTCATACAACCTCATTCAGTAACCTTTTACCTTGAGGCGCTTTTGGGCCTTGTATTATGTGAACAATTAGTAAAATAATGATAATAATAGATGTTGATGTTTATAGTCCCTTGATAGACGTTCTGAAAGGTCAGTTGCGCCTGAAGTTAACAGAAGAGTAATTTATGAATAATTTTTTTATATTTAAAAAAATCTTTAGTTCTAAAAAGCTAGAAACATTGAGCTCATAGCTTCCAAGTCAAATCTTTGTCATTTGATATTTTAAATTGGATGTTAATTTCACTAATCTTTATGGAGGAGTGAATAATCGTTTCTTTTATGCCCTCTTCAAGAGATTTAAACTGTTCATTTACGCCTCCCTAAAAAACAGCAGATTCTTCATAAATCCCTTTAAAAGAAAACTGTACTACTAATGTTCTTTGAGAATGGTAAACCAAAATTTCATATTTTCAAATTTCATGGAAATTTAAAGTACGTTCTAGCGTTTCTTATTTTAAAAGTGTACCCCGAAGTAAAAAAAAAAAATGGTTGAGAAACAATGCATTAAAGTATAATATTTTTGTACCATGGTACTAACATTATAGTCTAATATATTAGCCTTGATACCTGGAACTAGTTTGGCGTCCTGGGTAAGACGATAAACTACATCTGACAGCAAGGCCTCTGATCAGATTTTGAGGAGCGTGAAACCAACTCTTAATTGCTGCTGTTCCATCCTAACCCGGGGTGGCAGCATATGTTAGGGTCCCAGTTATGGGCAAATAGTTAACCCCAAACTGAAGTCAAAACACTATGTAAGTGTAAAAATAGGTTTTAATACCAACAATACATTTTTGGAAAAATTATTACTAGCAATGAATTTTTGAAGGAAAAAAATATTACCAACAATAGTTTTGAAGGACACATGGCACAGTGGATAAAGGCGTTAGTTAGATCCAGT